CCCCCTCCCAAGAACCATATTGGTGCTAAAACCCACTGTGTAACTTTTAAATCCATGATGGAGTTTTGAAACATGGCGATACCAAAATAATTGCAATAAGTATTACCCTCAAACTTCCTCCCACACAAGTTGATTGAGACTGATAAGCAAGGCGCAATTGACTTAGAAGAGGCATACTGATGACTTTGAAATACCATACTGACATGCACAGGGGCAGCAATACAACCGATCCAAGGTCAGTTATGAGGCCCTCTGCAAGTGTTTTAGCTACTGTGGACCTCAGTATCCTCCTTTATCAGAGCTCCTAAGACATCTGTCAAAGTTTTGATGACATCGAGCAAGATAATAACTGCAAAGACTGATGTAAGACTGATCCTGCCTTGTAACGATGGTCAATAAACACCACCCAGTTGTTGTTAAAAATGGTCCTTTTGTGTGTTGTGAGTTAAATAAAGCAAGACAAAGCACCTGCACTTTGGTGTTAGCTCATCCTTCAGACTGGCACTCAACGAGGGAGGAGATATTCGATATTCACTTCACCAAGCCCGTCAGAGCGCCGTGCAATCGATCCTTGAATCGGGGAGTGGCTGTCACATTACACATAGCAAAGAGCTGCAGCATGTGGTCCACGAGTGAATGAAGTGTCTGGTTATGATCCCAGTGACACTGACTCCAGACAGAAACCTGGCCTCCTTCTCCACGGTGGCCTACATCCTGAAATAGGAAATGTGCATTCACCGACAGCCCCAGCAGGCACATGGGACCCAGGAGCGGGCTGCCAGCACTTAGAGCTGTCACTGACAATTCAGAGCCCATGGGTTTGGCAGCACAAGTGAGCTGCCCTCCAAGCAGCTTTCTGGAATGGACTTCTATGCAGATGAGAAATAATTGGGTGACCTGTGACCTGAAGTCCCTGCAGATCATTGCTCAGCAGGGTGTCAGCATTCTTGTACTCCTCTTCTGGAAAGGGCATTTCCCTTTTGCTCCTCCTAAACATTCATTTGCAGGCCCCAGTGCTCTATTAACTACCCAGCAGGGTTGCAGGGATGACATCTATCCTGCAGCTGCCTGGGGAACTCCTCTGGTGAGCTGTGATGACTACCTGAGTTACACATAGGCTGGGATGGAAGTGAAAGCTCCAGGAAATTTCCCAAGAGGTTGTTCTAAGAGTTGTTCCTCTGCCCCCATCTCTACTGCGTACTGAAAGTCTCTCCTCTTTCCTTGCCACTCGGATCTGAGTACATCACACAGATCTCCTTGGACGCAAGCATCATTTCAAGAGGGAAAATGTCATTTTCATCTCTCCCTGTGTTTGTGGCAAATCACAGGGCCCTGATCAAGAAACGCTAAAATCCTCACGTACTAGCAATCAGTAGAAAAGCAATGGACACACTTCTAGATTCTTCTGAGCCACCAAAGTTAAGACACTAAGTCGAGTCTAGCTTGTTATTTGTCTTGTTTTGTTCTCCCTAGAAGATGAGCTTTGACAAGCTGCTTTCTCCCCTGAGACATAAAAGTTCTTTTCTTAAAATCACAACTCTGTCCTGAAAAGTACAAGAGTCTATTCCATTTGTGTCGTGGCTTTTTGTTGTTGTGGTGGTGGTGGTTTTTAATTTTTTAGGAACTTGTGAGTAGCATGCTCCTTAATTTCAGTGATTTTTCTGGAAGCATAAGTATATTTTGTTTCCTCACCTTGGATTAAAAGAGCCATGGAAAGTCCCAAAGAAAAGGCTGTGTTTAACCTCTAGGAGGAAAAACAACCTAGCAGATTTTCACTTTTGACTGCTTCATTAGTACCTCAGGCTACTTGTCCCCACTTAATGTGGGATTTCCCTCTGTAGGCTGTGATTACCATTAATGAATAAAGAAACTGCTTCGGACCTGTAGTAGGCCAGAACTTAGGTAGGTGGGGCAGTTGGAACTGAATGCTGGGAGAAAGGAGGCAGAGTCAGAGACAAGCCTTGTAACTCCATCAAAGTCAGATGCCAGTTGGAATCTTGCCAGTAAGCCACAGCTACGTAGCCATACACAAATTATTAGAAATAGGTTAAATTAAGTTGTAAGAGTTAGCCAATAAGAAGTTAGACCTAATGGGCCAAGCGGTACTTTCAATAATATAGTTTCTATTTGGTTATTTTGGTTCTGGGGTGGCCGAGACAAACAAGCGGCCTGCTGCTACACCCACTATCTGGGAAAATAGGAAATGTCATATAGTGAAGAATTCAGAGTCATGGAAAATGACTCTGATAAAATGAAGAGGCCCATCAGCCTTGGCAAAAGCAAAATGATCAGCATTCACAGGTGTGACCACTGAGGAATGCAGGCCACCTGCCGAACCAGGCATCAGAGCAAAGAAACATGGAAGATGCCAGCACCAGGGCAGCCCATGCCAGTCAGGTTGGTGCATGGCAAGGAGGTGCAACTTAGGTTCCTCTGCTGAGTCTTTCATACACTGTGTGGTCTTGTTTGTGTTTTTGTTTCCCTATCAACTGTTAACCAGACTATGGGGGGGGGGGAAGTTTGAAGATTTCTCAAATGGAAATTCTCTCCCAAAACAGACTCTCATTAATATATGAGACAAAAAAAAAAAAAGACCCTGAAAATCGCCAAAGACTTATACATTGCACACATAGTGGCTAGATGACTGTGTTTTAAACAATAGTTTTGGAGAACTAAACTAGGAAGGAGCCTTATGTGGAGGAAATGTTTTGGCCCATAATGTAGCAGAACATTCAGAGGAAAGGCTGACAGAGGTTGGCCAAAGACACAGCTATAGAAAAAGTCAGGCGTTCCATTGATGCGAACTAAAAAGATAAAGAGGTGCAGCATATTGCCATGGGCAGCTTATCCTCTGGAAGGTCGAGTTTTCTCATTTAAAAATTTTAAATAATAATAATAGCTGGTGCACAAAGGAAGGATTAAGGGAGTGATATCTCTAAAGACAGCGTGCTTCTGACACCGTGCAAGCATGCAATGCCAGTTAGCTGATTTCAGTAATCCCCAGTTCCTCTATGAATACATCTCATCCATCTGTGCTGTGAAGGACCTGTTCTACACTCCACCCTCCCAGCCACAGTGAACTCAGTTTCCCAAAACAATGAGCCAGTCAAAGAAAGGCTTTCCTCCTGTGAGGTGTTTCTGTTTGATCTCAATGACTAGAAAAGTGTTTTGTATACTGACAACTGTGACCTGATGTGAGATTACTGCGGATGGTGTAATCCCTGGCCACTGAAGGATTGTCTGAGAAACAATGATGATTTGATCTTAGGGAATAAATAATGAAAGCAAACAAGCAAACAAATCTTTTTTTAGGGAAAATGAGGTCGAAGCTAAGACATAATCAAAAGAAGAGCAATGTTATTGTTTGGGGAAGGAAAATGAGTCTGTTTCCTAATGGATAGCTCCTGGATGGGGGGAGGCTTATAACAAAGAGGGGGTGTGCAGAAAGGGTAGCAGAGATGTGCTCTGGCCAGTGAAAGGGTGGCTTTCTTATTAAAGAATTCTGGAAGTCTCTTAAGAAGCTGATAATTAATTCATAGCTCGATCTTTAAAGGGATGAACCAGAAGAATAGCATAATACAGGGACTTAGAAACACTTCTCAAGGTCTGTATGGAAGATGGAAAACTTCTGGAGTTGATGAAGAAAGATATCTAGGGAAGCCAAAAGTAATATTAGGGAAGAATTCCCCTTGCATTGGGTAGTGTCAGTTGGAATAAATGAACAAAAAATCATTGAGGAATAATAGAAACTAGTACATATAGGAATCTACTAGAATCCGTTGCAGTAAGAGATAAGAACCGAGAGACACACAGACATGTCCTGTGTGTCTAGGCTGGCTAAGCAGTTGTTCTCCCACTAAAATGTGAAGGATTAGAGGAAAATATGTGACTTGCATTTAGCCTGTATGCATATACCACCTGGAATATGTAGGTATCCACAGTGGACACAGACATTTTGATAGATAGATCTAGAATCCCAGAAGGTAACGAGTCATGGCAAAAGAATTAAAGCTATATTTTCTATCTGGAATCCAGGCACAGTGGGGTACACCTTCGATCCCAGTACTCAGAAGACAAAGGTGAATGTTCATGAGTGTGAGGCCAACCTGGTCTGCACAGCGAGTTTCAGGCCACTCAGGACTACCCAGTGAGACCATATCTGAAACACAAATTTCTAACCAACATAAATGTCCTGGGGAAAGGGTGTCAGCCACCACTGAATAGAGAGGGTGACAGTAAATGGATCTGGAAATGTATAAATCTTAAGAACTGCCAGAGACTCAGGATCTAATCACTGCATTGTCTCAAGAAAGGGCTCATTAGCTTCAAGACATTCAGTCGGAGAACAGCAGAGCTGGGCCTAGCATTAAAATCAGACCTCCTAGCTCATGACTGATCTGCCCTGGCTTTTGAGCTTTTGAGGTATAAACATTGCAATCTCCTAACTAGTTCGTTCGTTCTTTCTTTCTTTCTTTCTTTCTTTCTTTCTTTCTTTCTTTCTTTCTTTATTTATTTATTTATTTTTCTCTCCTCTCTCTCTCTCTCTCTCTCTTTCTTTCTCTTTCCTCATTTCTACTCTATTTATTTTTCTTTTTTTGCAGAATGCAAGCCACCTTGTTTTTATCTTAAAAATTCCTCTCAAAAGACAAAAAGGACATAAATGCAGTACAATCATCTTAATCAGTCTGTCTGGACATGTCCTCTTTGCAGGATTACTCTTCAGTTTTTCTCCTTTCTTCCATACCAGATTCAATCAAAAAGTTTGTCCTCTGCAGATTGGCACCTAACAGGTACACAAGAAAGAGAAGCCAACCAAAACAATATGGAAAAGTTACCTTCTTAAAGCCAAAGAGACAAATTTCTCTCCCTCTAAAATTCCACTTCAGGGTTAGTGAAATTCCAGCTCAAGCCAGACATAAGCACTGTAACTGGTACACATAACTCCCACCTTCACAGACATAGTAACCTGAGACTTCCTCGGTACTGCTGACCCATCTTACCTTCTTCACCCATTGGACACTTGCTGCCAATTCCTATAACATACTCCACCCATCTGATTGGTCATTCAACAGATAACAAGAGAAATGAATGTCTTCACAGGTCCACAAAGCCAAAAGCACAGTGATTTCTGAAAGAAAAGACACAGAAGAGAAGCAGCATTAGTAATATAGATGCAGTAGAAATGACTAAAATGCCCCAAGCCTTTATATTGGGCATAGACAGTGGCATAAGTTAGACTTTTCTCTTCAGAGAAAATAGCCTAGGCATACAAAGCAAATAAAAGTAAGCTATTAGAGTTGTATGAAAAACTGGGGAAACTTGTAGATTTAGAACTACCAGGGCAGTGTGATTAAACGCATCTGTGTTTAGTACCTTGATAACAAGGTGAATCTGGGGGACTGCCCAAGTGCTTGTGCTGTGAATGTCACACCCACTTGCTCTAGAAATAGCAATAACCCTTGCCGGAGAGATTGAAAGCATTCAGGGACAATTTTCTAATTAATGTGTACTCTGCTCCAAAGGCATGCATTCCCTCCTAAATTGAGAAACAGCTTTCTGGAGGAAACTGGTCCTCATGGGATGGTCTACTCAAGAACAACAAGGAACAGCGGGTGTTGGAGATAGTCGTTCCCCTTCAAGGAGATGAGAGCACAGGGCTGAGCGTGCATTCAGTCCTTCTCAGGCTTGCATTTCCTCTTCACTGCAACCAAAATCTGGATTTTCTGTGTGGGAGGAGCTGTGTTCTGCCTAGAAGTTGGTCTGATTGAACTTTGTATCTACTGAAGTGTCAACACTTTCCTTATCCCAGAGCAGCTGTTCATATATTAGTTGAATGAATGGAGAACAGTATATGGAGTGTTTAAACAGCTGTCGTCTTTAAAAACTGAGGCACTGAGCACATGAAGATGCTGACTGGCAGAGCATCCCTAAGACTGCAGCCTACAGATGTTCTTGAACGACCTTCAGCTCCAGGATGTGGGCTTTCTGTGACCAACTCAGTTTGCATGAGGCGCTCAATCAAAATGTTTATTAGCTATTTGTTGTACTATGCTTATTTCAAAGTCTACTTTTCCTTTCTCTATACAATATCTCCTTAGTACAATACATTCAAACAAAATATAATAGACAAAACAAAGAAAAATCCTCACTGAAAGAAGGCAGACGAATTGTAAATCTTCAAAAATGTGCTCCTAGCACATTGCTTCAGAGAAGATATCAACAAGAACAGTAAAATTGTCATACTGTGTAAGATTCTCAGGGTGCCAAGAACAGGCAGTCCTGGATTTATCCTGAACATACATGGAGGGGAGGCATTCATACAACATGGAGCTGATGACACAACCAGGAGACCCATATTAGCCAGGCAGCAAATATGTTGCCACCAGTAAATCACATCTTTAGATCTCAGGATCTGGATCTCAACCAGACTTATATAACCAATTAACTGACATTAAGTGAACCCCAGGGGAGAGGTCTCTGCTGATTGATCTAAAAAAACAGAGCTTTCAAACTGAAGCCAGGCTTTTTTTTTTTTCCCTCCATAAGTAATGGTTTACCCTCTTAGGCATAGACTTGCTTGGGACTCATCACTCTTACTTCATCCATCTTATGCCTCCCAACATCATATCATGGAAGTACATAATTTATTTGGGTCTACAAATTATAGATACACAGGATTTGGCTTCAAGATAAACTGTAATTTGATTCATTCATGTTTGAAATAGACAAAATTTAGATGAGAAATGAAACTTTAAAACTAATGCTACACCACTCCTGTCACTACTTACAATTCAGGGAACCCTGAGGAAGGTAAGTTAGAAACATTATAAGAGCCAGAGAGCATGAGGATGCCATGAAAAAAGGCCTTCAAAATACAGATGGACCAACACACATTGAACTCACAGAGACTGTGACAATATGAATTGTAATTGCACAGGTCTGTGACAGATGGGGCCCCTCTCTGAAAGTGGAAGTGGACATTAGTCCCTATCTTCCATCCAGAAGTTATCTCCAATTGGTAGCCAGTCACAAATGAAATAATAGCTTTCTCTACAAATTCTTATTGAAAACACAAGCCATTTCTGAGGCTAGGCTCTGTGCCTAGCAGTAGATGGCCAAGGAAAAAGGAACACAATGGCATTTTGGGAGGTTCTTTTCTGTAATGCTATATATTAAATCTTTTGTTGTTATTGTTGTTGCTTTGCCTCACATGCTCTTTGAGTATATATTGTGGTTTCTGGTTTTGCGTTTTTTATTGGCATTTCTGGGTGTGGGTATGAAAACATCTCAGTTTCTGTGTTACTGTATCTGTATGTGTTCCTTGAGCTTTTCTTTGGGCTCTTTTACTCCTGTTTTTCTTTGTGTTTTCCTATTCTGGTTCATCTGGTTTCATTTTATTTTTTTTTAATGCTTCTTTAAATTCTGATGAGAGAGAAGGAAAGGATGTAGATTTGGGTGGGTGGGTAAGTAGAAAGGATCTGGGAAGAGCTGAGGGAAAAGAAATGGTAATCAGAATATATTGTATGAAAAAAATCTATTTTCAATAAAATATATAATTAGTGTTAATACAAATCAGATATAAGGAGCTGCTCAAATGGAATGATTATATTTGCATGTGAAAAGGACATGAATTGGAAGACAGAGTAAAATCCTGTAGGTTGAAAGTGTGTGACTCCATCCCCAAGTCAATGAAATAGTGTTCACTTCTCTCTCATGCCATCCCCATCCACTCCTCAGAGAGGGTAAGGCATATTTCTTTGGAGAAAGTTGAAGTCCCTCCATGCTGTATCTAGGCTGAGCAAGGTAAACATCCAAGGAGAATAGGTTCCCCCAAAAGCCATTACAAGCAGTAGGGATAAATCCTGGTGCCACTGCCAGTGGCCCCATAGTCTGCCCCAGTCATACAACTGTCACCCACATTCAGAGGGACTAGTTTAGTCTTATGCTGTTTTCTTCCGTGTTCAGCTGGAGTTGGTGAGCTCCCATTAGCTTAGGTGAGTTGTTTTAGTGGGTATAACCATCATGTTCTTGACCTCTTTGCTCTTATTCTCACTCTTCCCACTATTCATCTGGACGTTGGGAGCCAGTCCAGTGCTCCAAACAGTCTCTGCCTCTGTTTCCATCAGTTGCTGGATGAAGGTTCTATGGTGATATTTAAGATATTCATCAGTCTGACAACAGGGCAATGATAGTTTGGACACCCTCGCTTCTATCGTTTAAGGTCTTAGCTGGGGTCATACTTGTGAGTTCTTGGGAATTTCTCTGGTGCCAGTTTTCTTGCTAACCCCATAATGGTTCCTTCTCAATCAAAATATCTCTTCCTTTGCTCTCATCTCTCTCCTTCCTCCATCTTAAACTCATTGATATAAAGTAATCATAGAGAGTCAAAGGATGTCTATAAGATGATGGAGAGACACACAGAAAGTCCTAAGGAGGGACTTTGTGTAGCATGGGTTGTTTTTTTGTTTTGGCAGAGCAGGACACTCTTTTGGAAATGCTGACAAAGAGATAAGGCTAGCTAGTTATTACCCTACCTCTTTGAGCTAGCAGGTTTTCAACCCAGCCTTTGACTCCTGAGTCTTATTGATAAATAGAACAATCGAGATTTAATTAAAAGCTACATTTGATGACAGTGACATAGCTGATGCCTGCGGGAACAGCAATTACAGATTAAAGCACAGCCTCTGTGCTGACAGAAAAACAACCGAGGGGAGCAAGACAGACAAGGAAGATTGTAGTGCAACGCCATTTTACAGATACAGAAACTGGGACTTGGTAATAAATCCCTAGGTGCATGCAGTACAGAAATAGCAGGACTGGACTAAGTTGCTACAAGTTCACTCCTCCCAAGTTCTGAGAGCCCCAGCATCAGAGTACTTTGCAGAACAAACAATGTCTGCTCCTGTTGTGCATGCAAAGATACTTTCTACATTTGCTGTATGCACGCAGCAACGAACTGAAGATGGTTGGGAGCAGAGTCAATCAAAACAAAAGATGAGTAAGCTTTTGTATGTCATCACTCTAAAGTGGTTAAAACACAGATTTGTGAAGCAGCTGCTGGGACTACGCTTTACTATGGTCTAGAAGCAATGAGTAGAGGCACGTGGCCGATCCTGCTCTGTGGTTTTCTTGCTCAGCAAGCAGCAGAAGGGACTCAATAACTGTAGCACACTCTGGGCATCTACAGATGGGAACTTACCGCTTTCTAGAGTGTTACATGTTCTCAACATTGTCAAAGTGATGATTAAGCGCCATTAATAATCACCACTGGCTGTTTTTTTTCCTGTTATTGCCAAAGTCCCCAAACCATATGGTGAAGCATATTTTATAAGATAAGCCAGTTAATTATGAATTTTTAGAAGAAAGGGAAAAGCACTGTGAGAAAATATGACTTAAAGTTCAGGTTTTGCCTGTGCAAAACTAGATTGAGTTTGGGTAAGTAATAACTGTCTGGGGTCCTATTCTCTAGATAAAATGTAGATAATAACAATTTTGGAGGATTATCATGAAGAGTAGTAAGTAAAAATAAATTGAAAAGCTCAGCTAATAATCATGAGCTGTGATTATAAAAAAAGATAGATATGCATTTTGGTTTTACAGTGGTTATGGTTGTTTGAAATTTCATTATATGTTTGCTTTCTCATGAAGCTTATCCGTAGACATGTCAGCAATCATATAGAACATTTGCAATCATATAGAACATTTGCAATGATACAGCATGCAACTAACATCTATCTGTGAACATCAGCATTGCCATTTTTTTTTCACATGAGGAAACTAAGAATCAAAGACTCTTAAAGATGTGCCGTGATGTTCATTGGCTGATCTTAGACCTTTGCTCCCATGTGTGTATAGGGACTTCCAGAAATCCATAGTTTATGTCCCCCTGATGTACCCTAGGCTTGTTCCTCTCCTATAGAATCATGGGATGATGCCCCCAAAGTAATTGCAACTACAAGAAGCCAAACACAAAAAGTTCCTGGGCTCCAAATGGATTTGACACAGCGCTCTTTTAAATGCATCTTCTAACACGATTATCTTTATGTCCCTTTAGTCATTTTCCTAAGTAAGCCGTGCCTTTAGACGCACCTAATACAGAGTGACAACCTTTGCTGTTTTCTAAAGGTC